ATATAGGCGACGACGCCAGCCCGATTGGCATTTCAATTATGTAAGATACATCAACACACATATACACAAGCTATGAATACAATTTTAAGCACTGTCTAATTGCCGTACCAGTAAATAAAAGAATATCGAATTGTTTTCCTACATTGACTCTGCTGTTATCTTTACAATGTAGTTGCAGTTTTGTAATGTAGTTCTAGTAGCAGTAGAAAATTAATGGAGAAGAAAACTTAATGAAACCAAATAATGTGTTTTTTATAACAGTGATGCAGTTTTGTACATTAGTTGACCCAATCGTTGTACGCAGGCATTAAAAGTTGAATTAACTTTCGTACACCATTTAATTAATTCAACCAATTAATTATTATAGTTAAGAGATACGGGATGACTTATAAATTAAATAATAAATTGTATTTTTTATTTTAAGATAATATATAATTCTAAATTATTGATTTTAAATTTGAGCCTATATAACAGGAGCCCTTACAACACACAATATGAATATATTTCACTTTTTAATAAATTGATTTATCTGTTTATGTGTGATAAAATAACAATAAAATATAATTTATGCATATTACGATTTATTCTATAATATACAGGAAGTTATCAAAGCACGACTCACAGGGATTGTGATATGATCGTAAAATCTTCTGGAAATATAATAATTAAGTGTCAGTTATGTAAATGGAACAGCCTGTGCAATAATACAGTCGATAAATATTTTGGCACGTTCCGGTCGATTCCAGCCATCTGCATTGATTATTGTTTATTTAAAACCGATTAAAATCTCAAATTTCAATTTTACGGAAAATGTTTTTAGCAACAAATTGGAAATTGGCTTTACTTTTGTTGAAGTAAAATTTAGATTTAATATAATTAGCACATATTGAGCTCACCTATTATGGCCGAATGGAAACCAATAGGGTTCGATTCCTCGCACGGTACAAACATTTCTATTTATGAATATAATTGTTTGTTTTGGTATGTCCATTTCTAAGTACAAACAAAAAATATTTAAGTATTTATATCAGTTGTCTAGTAAACACACTAGCTTTGCTAAGCTTAAGAATAAATGGCGCTGTGTGAATTATCCAACGTTAATATTATAATATATTTCTTTATTAGTATTAATCTTTATTTTTCACATTACATGATATTAGTATACATAGAAAGTTTCACGAATATCACATTGTCATACATGTAACCGTGATAAGAGTTCTAAGAATACTCGGAGAGTATTCATTCGTTACTCGACTGAATTTATAAACGTTTCGTTCTTTATTTTTAAATCGAAACCTAACCAGTTCTAAACTTAACTGTAGCTTCAGCTATAAGCTCTTGTTGTGTGCTGTTTCACATTACATACTAAACCAAGTTAGACAAAGGCAACAATGTAGAGGTATATAAAGTCTCTATACTGGCAAATGTACCTGAGTTTAATTGCATTTATTTAATGGAGTGAGATTGTTAAACCCAACACAATATGACTTTATAAGTATAAAAGATGTATGTTATTCCAAATATAAATAAGTGTATTATTTTGTTTCTTTGTTTTAATTTTTTTTTTATAGTATTAAATATTGCTCTCGATAAAATTTAGTGGACATTATACAGTAACCGTTCATTGTAAACATATAAATATCCCCATTATATTAAATAAATGTTTTTGTATATTCTGATACCAAAGGCACCTTTATAATATATATTTATAATTAGTTCAGATTGCATTGCAGTATAAATGTACAGCCATCAATAAACATCTATTCTATTCCATCTTACCCTCTCCTGAGGTGAGATGTTATGTATCAGATTGGTATTGCTCTAAATATTATACCTTTCAGAATGAATATAGCGTTTTTGTTTGACGTCAGAAATATGAATTTTATTGTAGCAAATACTACGAATAACAATATCAACTACAGAACTACACATACAATAGTTTTTATAACTGCAATAATTGAAATTCAGAAACTAATCTAAACATCCGAAGACGGCCGGCACTTAAAATAGGCGCCTAGTCGACGAACCGCTGTCGCCAGTCATCTTGTCGCCCCATCACGATCCATCTCAACAAACAAACCTAATCTACTTAGCTAACTAATTGAAATGGTAACACGAAAGTAATTATCCTTAAATATCTTTACCGAAACTATCTTTAAATAGGACGATATTTACCTTGATTATTTAGCCTCGATAGAAAAATAACTAAAGTAGAAATAGTAAGTAGTAGTAACGACACCAATACTTTTTAGTTTTAAAGATAAAATTTAGGTACATTGGTTTTCCTAATTCAAAATGTTATGTTTCTTTAATTTCAAGTAAAATTTAAAATCTACAATTAGTCGTATGTGTGGGGAAGAGAAAGTCGTCTGAGTCTCATATACTTCAGCCGTTCATACAGACGACGGTTATCACTTACCTTCATTTGCTGTTAGCTTATTTGCCGTGATTTACATTAAAAATTTCCTGTTTATTTTTACGTACATAGTGGCATTTCGTAGAATAATAATAATTTAAATAGTAACTTCCATAGAATAATAATAGCTGTTGACAGCTGACAGCATCGAGCTATCGGCAGATCTCAAAAAGATAGTCAAGATAAACATCCCGTGGCATAATGTGTAAACCCATCCAGTAAATATTAAAAATATGACAATGTTTACGAAACAAAATACTATTATATTTGAAATGTATTTTACTTTGTCTCAGAAATCCTCGACAGAATATTTGACAAATGTAAATCTCCCCAGTTAACAAGTCGAGAGATCCAATTCTCTATTTTTTCTTGCTCAAAATACACAAGAATAATATAAAACGTTTGTTAGTATAAACATGACCGAGCGTCGGTGAACACTGAGCAGATATACTTATATTTAGAAAACATTTACGTATTCGTAAATATTTTAATTCACCTTTCAATTTCCTGTACCTGCGATAATTTCGTAATGCTGAGGTAGCAATAAAATCTATTAATTATATATTATAAAATAATTATGTTAGTACTTACATTGCTATGGGATTTATTATCCCGACTTACATTATGTGATAACTAGTGGTTTAATATGCAGTGACTACCTGTTGAATAACACGGCTTCATCATCATCATCGCAGCCCGGAAGACGTCCACTGCTGGACATAGGCCTCCCCCTATAAAAATAACCCGGCTCAATAGTTGCATAATTGAATTGTATAAAAAAAGAAAGATGTTAATGATATTTGATTTCTATAATATCAGCTGAATATACAGTAATACAGAAAAGAACTGGCTAGTCCTACAAACGTTGTTTTGTCATTTAAATTTAAATATCGGTATTAAAAAATAGGGGTTGATGAGAACCTACTTTTTAAGTCCGATACTATTTTTTTTAAATGTCGATATAAAAACTTTTGTGATGTACCATCATTATCGCTTAGGGTATGAAAAATAATCTAATACCAGCCCTTACACCTACTTTATATTATTTTACAAACATAGTATATATTAAAAAATCCAATTCAAATTCTCTTATTATATGACAAATATATATGACAGAACAGATATAATTACGAACACACATGGAGCTACATGAGCTGTTATCATCTATACATAAATACGTTTCCATACGGTGCATTCTCCGTCTACGATCGATACTAGGTCCATAATAAAAAACGAATCAACCATATTTGAGAGCACTTTCTATGCGGAGCTTTATTTTCCAAGTCTATTGAAAATGAAGGAGAACGGTGATTATATGCGAATATAGTTTTAGTATGGTATTAAAATGGAACGACGGCATACCTATTAGCATGACTCGTAAACGACTCATGGCGTCACTACTAGTAAAACATAGGATATCCTAGTAATTATAGTGAAAATGTTATTATTTATTGTACTGTCGACTATATACATAAACAGCACCATGGATTTTACGTAGTCACGTGACGCCCAAGATACTCCTCATGGTTTGCCATTCCAGAAGACTAAAAATGTATGGCACCATAAATTATAATTTCACTACTAAATCCTATATCCTTTTAAGTGAAATACAGCTTACAAAACAAGCTATATGTTAGCAGAAATAGGTGAGATAGAGGTACGCAGAAGAATATGAAGCAATGAAAGATTTATCAAAATTTTACAAATTTATAACTATTGAACCCTTAAGCGTGACTATACTTAAGATTATTAAGTGGAATTTTATGGACACTATATTATCTCATCGAATATATAACGCAAGGGTGTGAGTAGGTATTCTGAATCTCAACGTCTTTAATAATAGTCATATGAAGAAATAGGATCATATCATTGGTTTTATTACATATCACGCAGCAGTTTTATCGGTTAGCCAATAAACCAGCACCTAATCAATTACTATCCAAATGACATATTAACGTGATAACAGTGATTTTTTCGCCTCCATCGGTGCAATAATTTATTATTACATTTATTTTTATTATGATTAGGACTTTTATTACTACTGTATCTAAAAATCTCTTAACAAATAACAATTCTCAGCGTAAATACTGAAATCATTATTTTTTAATAATATAGTATATAAGTAGTCACTAAGATGGACAAATGTGTATGTTCATCTTAGTGGCGGCGTGGTGAACTGGGTCATTGGAATTCTTAAGATATGGTCGAGCACAATGATAGTTCGCTCATTCCTCATACTTCTAAAAGGGTGTGACTCTTGGAGATAGGTGCGTTCTGATCTATTACTACGTTTTAATTAACCAACAGTACCTATATTTATATTTAGTCATTTGTATTCACATATATTTAACTTAAAAATGTAAATCTATATTTATTTATATCTTACATTTAATCTTTTGTAATAGAACACTATTCAAAAGTGTTTAAATTGAAGTTTATTTGAATTTATATCAGAACATTTCTATTTAAAGATAAAAGAAGGAATTAACAATTCTATTTATGGAGCTACCAAAATAAATATCACGTTTATATCTACAGATCAGAAAAATCTAATTAATAATATTAATTTTTATTTTTATTGCAGATTCATCAAATATGGAGACAGACAAAATGTCCACAGCATCCTCAGTGGGAGCTGAAAGAAGGCCATTGATGCAAGCTCTAGTGATCGAAAGACGCATCCTATTTGGTTGTACAATTTTTGTTGGTCTATGTACATTTGTGTGGATAACGGCGGTTTGCACTGAAAAATGGGTTCACATAGAAGGAGGAAAGGGTAAGTTTAACTGTTTATTTTCATATAAAGATATGTATATACTTACTCTATTTGTATGTTTTTATTAACGGCATGGCAAACTAGCTGCCGTCTACCTAATGGTAAGTGGTTATCGTCGCCTAATATACAGAAACAGTACTATAGATACCAATTCATCATATGATACTCATGATGCCGATAATGCGTAGTCATTTCGGTAATTACCCTGTCTTTTAATTCTTCAACTGAAACACGTTTTACAAAGTAAGCTGCTTGCAAGATGGAAAAGCTGAGCTGCTAATCTACGCAGACGAGTTTTCACAAAGTCAATCCCTGTAAAATGTAATAGGTACTATTGTTTAATAACTAACTAACTTTGATTCTTTAATTTTGTTTGCTGACAAGTATATGATGAAACCAGATTCTATACTTCATTTTTGTTAGTAACAAAAGTTAATAGAATGAATAAAACCTTCTTGAAATTATCTCAAATTTAATTTGAACTAGTATCGTAGTTATTTTTTAATTGTATGCTAGATTTAATTGACTATTGCTAGTTCATAACTATATCCCACTCCATTCTCAAAAACAGTAAACTATTGAAAGTGCTCACGTGATGCAAACGGCACTTGTAGTTATATGATTTGACCTTCGTTCCTATTAATGCAAGCTGAATGATTGAGATTGTCTCTTGAAAACTTCTATTATGTTTATTGTTTTAGTTAATATATGATTCTGATACTGTGCACAGTACTAATAATAATCACTTTGATTTTTATTCTGATTCACGAATTAGGCATTAGTGACACAAACTGTTCTTTTAAATTGAAACTTAGATCAGGTGCCAAAGTCAACACATTAGCTACAAAAATGAAAATATAATCTACATTAAGATTGTAGCACATTTTCAGTAAAATTGCGTATAAAATTTTAGTTTCTATTCTATATTTGGTTCCGTGGGAACTTTTCGGAAATATATTCTTTTTGCTTTTATTTTATTTTTTTTTATTTTTATTTAACTTTGAACATAAAGTACTGAACTATAGATAATATTTCCTTCAGCGTATTTTTGTGTTTTTCTTACTTCGTTTAAGCTGTTTCCATTCGATCAATCGGCAGATTTTAGCTTAGCCAACAAAATGTGTTAGTTGATCACATTATCACATATGTTTTTGTTCGTACTAGAGCTTGAAGAATATATGATATTACATTTGATAAAATTAATTCTTAAAATTGACGCTCCATATTTAAAAATTTAAGATCTATATTTTGCTGGCCGTGGCTATGTTTGATGTTTTGTAGAAGTTACACTCAAATTTAATTTTTGTTTTACATAATAACTTATAATTTGGAGTGGTTATTATATTTTAATATCAAACATTTTATGTATAATACCGTCCTACTACTACATTTAAGTGTTTCGGTTGAGTGGTAGCCTTGTTGAAAAATCGATGCATTTCGCTCTCGCTTGTATCATTTGATACTGTTGTCAATGCATTTTGTTTTGAGCAAAACATTTTATTAATTGTAAAGAGTAAGCGTAGAATATATGTGAATTGATATAAATAGTAACTTTATGTAATCATTATATGTAACATATTTATTCATGGAAAACTTAATTAATATTTTATAAATTGAACTTTGAATACTATCACAGTTATCTAAAAAATAAATATATTCTTCGGCTCATCGAGCTTTGCATAAACTGCAGGAGATTCTATTTTTTTCTAATAAAACGTAACTTAAAAACAATATTAGACTCTTTAATTTATTAATAAAAAAACTAATATTTTTAAATATAAGCTTATATTAATATTTAATGAAATATGACAACAATATTTCTTCTAGCTTCAGCTGATAGCGGCCAATTTACTGAAATAGCATGCTATACATACATCTTTTTAATTGCAATCACGTGGTATTCGGATCAATGCCCCAAGTTCTATTTATGTTCATTACCGTATGTAGTGTTTGTATGCACACATCTAGATGCATCGAGTTATGTGTTTTGGATACCTGAAGTGGTGCCAGAAATCGGTCAACATGACACTAAACTGTGTAATTAATTACTATGTAGATAATTTGTTTGGCGTCGACGATGTTGGTTTATCTGGTATCCATTTGTATCTTGTGTACAATGTTACTCAACTTTATCACCTTATCCGGTCTCTTTAATACTAATTCATCGGAATAGGATCACATTAATTTTCCCACATTTTGAGTATAATGTAATTTAACAGGAAAACAAAATTTGGTATGTTTTTTTTATCTGAAACTTCGTTATGATTTTTGATTCGATTTAGCCATTTGGTTGCACAAATTTAAATAGAAATTAAACCTTTTATTAAACTGCTTATTTCCTGTATTGTCTATACAGTAAATGAGAAATTTAAGAAAAGCTTAACTTGATAAATTTAGGCAATAATATATTAAATTTTTTCTTTTTGAAAGACATAAAAAATTAAAAGAATCATACCAACTCCACAATCTCTGGATGAAAATTATTAGAATATGTAAATTTTTAAAAAATAACAATTGCCCGTTATAAATGTATCTTAGAAATATTTATTTGTAACCTTTGATAAAAGAAATAATACACATAAATTATTAATGAATTAGTAATTATGTAAACATCATTTGTACATTGTATATAACCATATTCGAAACGAATCAAGCTCGACACAATTGTGACATTTAATTAAACTCCGTATTAATTAATAGCTACGTTACATAAAATATTATTTCGGTAGTATTGTTCAGTTTATTTCCCTTTGGAATTGGTACATATAGGTATGTATATAATATTTTATGTAACGTAGCTTATATTGCCTATTTTAATTGGTTTAACCTAATATACTTACTGCTCCCTTATTATTTATATATGTATAGTAAGAGAATATATTCATGACATCCAAGTATATAGTCTACTGATACTGTAAATGGAAATTAAACATCTTTGTATACAGTTCTTCTATTTTCTATTTTCTAAAATATATTTAACATACATATATTTACATTATAAATGCACACTTAAATATATTTTATCAGAAAACGAAAAGAGAAAAACCAAACAAAGCTCGTTATGGCTTTTCCCAATAATGAATATGAATATGTTCCTAGGTGCGCCCCTACCTGCCAAAGGTAGATATCTCATGTGGAGCAGTTCAGGAGTGTGGGAGATATGCCGATATGTGTTCCATGCAAACATAACTGCACCACCGGAAAAGCATAATGGGACCACATTAAAGCCACCTGAAGACGCTAGTGACTTAGATGGAATACTTATTACAAGTAAGTTGCACATGTATTTCTAAGTAATGTCATAAATATATAAGCATTCGATTTTTTTAATGGATAGGGTATGATTGGAGCGGGAATACAACGACTATTTTATTAAAAATCAAATAATAGTTATGAACGCGTATATTTCCCAAAGGAGCTCACAGCGAAGAGTAACAAGAATTAGTGAAAGGTGACATATAAAAAACAAATATCAAAAATACAAATTTTATAAAAAGAATCGTAGACAAGCTGCCTGCAAAAGAGGAACCATCAGTTACTCGTCGTGACAAAAACCCCAGCAATTCATTTCGAAGGTTTCTATACATGACCGCTTGGAAGTCGATCTGAGACGGTATATAACAAGGCCCCGTTACTAAAAATGTCCACTCCTAGTATCGCCTAGATATTATTGATGAACTGATGTCGTTTACGAAGTTGAAAATCACTTGTAAGTCAATAGAACGTAACTATTTGTAGGACAGGCGAATTAATAAAATTGTTTCCATAGGTCAGATTAAATACACGCCACGAAGTATATATTACGAACATTTTAAAGAATTAATTCTCACAAAAGAATTCTGCGCTTCTATGTTAAAGTTAAGAAAACTGTATTATCAGTATTCTTAAAAAGAATATAGAGTAATGACTCCAATTTTCTTATTATAAATCTTCTGTATGTTGTTCTAAAATAATATGATGAATTAGGTAACAGATGCAGGATCTTTGACGTCGTTTTCATAATAAATATTATTTTATATATTTTATTACATAATAAATATTTTCATTACCTGCCAACTGTGATTTCCTTCACATCTTTTATCTTTCAGAACACCAAATAATTAGAACAATCGTAACCACAACTATTTATTAAATTATAATGAAATTAATTGATAAATTTATTATTATTATTTATAATTCAAGAATAATCATTTTATATATGTGCTAAACTTATTTTAATCGAAACTAAATATTTGAAAATATATTATCGACTATTATATACCAAGTAGGTATATTTTAGCAGAACTTTATTGTAATACATTATTCTGCGTATGACATAATAGATAACAAAAAATTGTCTATTCGTTACAAAAGAGCAAACATAATTTACAATAAAGCCAGTATCGTAATCGAAGGAAATTAATTAATTTTATTCCTTGACTATTTACGAGTACTAAAAGGAGACAAAAACTTCTCGATTGTCTTAGTTTTTATGAAAGTTCGTGTTCGTGTTCTGTTGTATTAATTTCCGTAGGAAATATAAAACTAGTCACTAAGAGACGAGAAACAAAAGTTTTCAAGGTGAATAGTCTGACTAATAGAAAAATACATATACCGGCTCCTCTCATTATAAATACCACGGACAACACGTTAATCTTCACATTCTTTACCACCATAGCTCCCCGGAGCTGCTAATGAAGCAATAAATAACATAGATGAGAGAGATGTCGAGTTTGTACAGCTGACAGAATTGTATTTTGGATATTATTAAGCTGTTGTCAAGACGTATTTTACTTTTAAGAATAGAATAAAGATTTCCTTCCTTCAGCTGCTTTAAATCAAATATTAGTATATAATATTTCATGTTTTTTAAAACCAAGCAGTAATGATTTCATCACAAATCATTACTGCTTGCTTTTAAAAAAATATGAAATGTTACTAATGTTAAAAAGTCATAAAAACCAATGTTATGTTTGTGATGTAGAATATACCACAAACAGAACATTATGTATTGTGTAATATTAATGTAATAGCCATAGTAAAAAAACAGAAAATAACTCAAACTATTTGATAGACTGTAGCTACCCACCCCGCATTTCGCATTTCGCATGGATGTACATATATTACACATATAAACCTTCCTCTTGAATCACTCTAACTATTGCTAAAAACTGCATTAAAATCGGTAGCATAGTTAAAAAATATTTACGCGAATAGATAGAGGAGGCTATTATTTTATACTATGTAAAGAAGACTATGTTTTACTTGAAGGAGTATGTTTCATTTATAAATTTAAATCAAGAGAACTGAAAGTATATGTATTTTAAAAAATTATGTCATCTTGTCGATTATATATATCACCCACATCAACAACTTCAAATGGTATATATATACTCGGGCGAAATCAAGTAGAAACAAATCAGAATGAATCACAATCACGCAAATATTTTACGGCACATCGAGATCGTATCGACAGTTACAGATTGAGAAAAAGGAAAAAAAACATTATGCTGTAACACACACCACAAACACGATTAACAACTATAGTACTAATCAAAGTAGTTATATCCTTATCTTTTATAAATGTATTATTATAAGTAATACATTTTTAGTAGGTTATTTTAGATTTATGATTTACCTGCCCGTCTAATGTTTTATGGTTTCTCCTGAACTAATATGTTAGATAATCAACATGGTCTTTAAATCACTACCTGACAGGTTTCAGATCGTAAACAAACATGCCATGTTATGATTTTATTATCTGACGATAGATTGTTTCCCATTTCGACTCACCTTCGATAACCCAACATAGTTCTATAAAAAAATAAATTTTTAAATGAACAATGTATTATCCATATCTATTAGACAATATAGTAATAAAAATAGCAGTATCCGTAAAAAATATTAACGAATTTTAAATTTAGATACTTCACAAACCTTTATTTAAATAAAATTAATCACTTCCTACTGTTATTTTTTTTAATTACCACATATTTTATTTAATATTTAAGATACTACAATTTCATAAATCATTAATTTTTGTAATAATAATTACTAAACTATTTTGACATTAATAATATAATAATGTATCAAAATTTAATAACATTACATAACATACAACACAATGTAATGATTAAAATAAAATTTTATTGAATGAAAATAAATTCACAGCGTTGAATTAAACAAATGAAAAATCTATCCATCTCCTAAAATGGTGTCAATGTTCTAAGAGTAGCACTCGAAGCAACTCTTTGTCAAGACAGCGAGCAGAGTAAAGCGTGTTTTAAAAATAAACGCGTCATGTGAAATGTTTAGCAATTCATACAATTTTTCACACCGACTTTAAGCTTGGTTTATTTTCTTCTTCAAGACGCCTTCTGTTTTAGCTCACTCCGTTAGTCCATTATCTCCCGCTGGTTTACTTTTCTAACAGGGTATTTTCATAGTTAATAATGTTGTATTCATTATATATATGAGTGTAATATCTTTTATCCCTATTAACAATAAATACGTGTTTAATTCAAGCTGCTTTAAATAATTCATTCTTTTAGCTGATGTAAAATTATTATTAACTTAAGAAAATTATCTATATTAGCCTAAACTTTTAATGTACCCATATCAATTTGTAAAAATTGAAGCTACGATGCTGGATATATATATATATGTATATATGGAGTAGTATTGTACAAGTCAACATGCATAATCTTAAGTTACGGCTAAATCATCATTGGCCTCCAAAAATATTGTTTGTGAACTCAAAATTTAATAGAGTTGTCTCTAATTATTAATATTACTATTATTGACTTTTCGTTTTTGATGATGACAGTCTCGGTGGTGTGGTGTTCCTTGCACAAAACAAATGTTTGTGTTTATGAGTACGATTGTCTAGGTGTTTTATATGTATACTATGTATACGAGTTATTGTACTAGATAGAGCATTACATAAAAAGATCATTCGAGATAGGACTTGCGTTAATATTTTAATGTAATATTTTTATATTATATGCAAGTTCAACTTTTGTTGTTGTTATTTTCGTGTATTGTTAGGATATATTGTTAGTGTCGCAAATCGTTCCATGTAGCCAAAAAAGCAAATATTTATTCTATCACAATGTGTTTACCTATTATTACGACTGTCCGTTTGTAGCTATTTCTACACAACATTTCGCCAGAAGTACGACCCAGTTGAAATCCCATCCAGACAATGGATTTAATGGGTTCCGGGACTGTGCTGTTTGCTATATGTTTTTTGTTTGAGAATGTAAATTGGCAGTGCTTTGGTTTGGAACGAGGGTAGATACTATGTATTTGACGGCATGGTTAATTAAATTGTGTATGTAGATATATAGTATTATAATATAACTTATATATTACAAATATTTATAACATATTAATAAATACTATTTATAGAAATATTGGATATGTGATAAATATAGAATTAAAAATTTACGTATCAAATATATCTCACACTAAATAAATAACATACAAATTGATATTGATGATTGTTGATTTTTAAAAGTCAACATCATTTTAAAGAACTGTTAAATACTTGTTGGCTTATATGATAAGTAAAATAAATGTAAATATTTTCTCCATGAATTTTATTTTTATAAAAGTAATAAGAGCCATTTTGGCTTATAAAAGTAATAAGAGCTTACCAATTTACATTCATATGTATTTTAGTATCGTTTAAAATAGCGTTTACCGTTTTGTATTTAAAAAATACATTAAAAATTTGATTAAAAAATATTCTGAATACAAGAAAAAATTGCGTATCATTGCAAAAAATTTCATAATGAAAATACCACGGTGTCGAGTAGTTTAGCTACGTGTAAATGTTTTGACATCACCCGAGGTGAGATAAAATGCGTAAGATTAAATATCTCGAGAATTAATAATCTTGTGCTCTATAAATCAAAATATAAAAACGATATTACGAGTTTCAACGGTTCAATTATTTAATATAAAACATTAAATATACCACTTGTCCTATTTTCTTCCTAGATATGTTTTAAAACTATGTTTCTTTTATGCAGTTGGCATGGCAAATGGTGCCTGCTGATAAATGGAAAAGGTTTTCTATATTCAGCACTGTGAAGATCACATTATCATGTGAACCGCTGTTATCATGCCTAAGACTTGTAATTTCACTGCCATATCACATGCTTTAAGTGAAACACATCTTTCAAAGAAAACTTCTTACCAACTGAATTAGGTGACACTTATAAAACTACACAGACGAAATTCACAAAGTCTACCCGGTTAACTGTATATTACTTGAGAGGTAATAT